AGTACAAGTTTAAATTAATAGGACTCATACTAAAAGGAGGCCAGAAGGGACTCTGGGTGTGATGTGTCATAAAAGAGGCTTTGATAAAAAGGAGTTTAGAAATGATTTCAGTTCATTAATATATGGGTAAAAATAAACACACAATGAACTTTAAAATACATTTCCATTTTTAATTTAAAAAATAAATAACAGCAAATCTGAACAAAATTTTTCTCCTTCCATACACAGCTTCCTAACTGTCCACGTTGGAAACCCTAGAAGTTTACAAAATCATGGCAACAGCGCTTTTGACAAAGTTGAAATGAACCCGTCAAAACATGACCAATGGGGGAGTCCGGGCAGGACGACAGGAGGGCAGCTTTGCTGGATTATTAAGAATCAGCCTGAAATCATCAACACGGAAGGAAAACTTTTCTTTTTGTAGATTAAAAGTGATGTTCCACTCTCAGCCCACCCACAGAGGAACTTACCTTTTCCAACTTAATTTTAAAATCCCACTTGGTCATGGTGCACAGACCTAAAAGCCTACAGAAACTTCGTTTCTTTCTGACTCTTTTTGTTCACTTAGAATAAAAGAAAGCTGGGGCTGAAAGGATTCTAAAAATCATGGAACTGCAAAAAAATATATCTGATTTTGGTTTACATGAAGAAATTGCCAAATCTACATATTCATTGTATATTGACTTGCCAAAAAGCATGTTATTGCTCTGTGTTGATGGTGGGCTTTTTCTTTCCTTTTCATTACACCAGAGAGTGAGAGGAGAGAAGGGACAAAGTTGAAGCTGGTTATGCCTGGATCCGAGAGGTGGTGACGTGGGTGTACACCACTGTTAAATATCATCCATCTGTACACTAAGATCTGTGCACTTAACTGAATGGAAGTTATGTCTCGATTTTAAAATAAGAAATGACCCCATGAACCGGGGGTAGCTAGAGTGGAAGGACTCGTGCATTTGGAAAGAGCCAACAAAGGTAGATAATCTCAAATCCTGCTTTAGCTCTTGTTTTTTCTTAGGGATTTGCAGTGTGACAGCAAGCGTCTTGAAGGGTCGCCCTGATAGGTGAGAGGGACTGCAATTCTAGAGTCAACTGTGAGGGTGGAGGGCGAGGCCAGCATGGCCCAGGAGCGTTACTTAATTAGGGTTCACTTTCCTTTCCTACCACTCACTTCCCATCCCAAAACACACCACAATCTTTGCCCCTGAAGACACTGAACTGCCATATCCCGAGGGTCTAGTACAGTGCCTGGTATTTAATAAGAGCTTAATACGTGTTGAATAAAACAATTCTTGGGGGGGAAAAAAATCTCAAAGCAAGTCACCAAAGACAGAGAAAGAAGAGATTAAAAAAATATCCCATAAACCAATATTCGCAAAGGTGTGACAATTTGGGGCTAATTTCAATGTCTTTCAATACTCCAAAGTTCTTCTCAGGGAACATAAAGACCAGTTCCTTCTCTTTTTATCCCTACCTCTCATCTCTCCTAGATTTTTTTATAGAATCAAAGCATTTATTTGCAGCCTTCCTGTGACTTCAGGACACACGTTACTCATGACATTTTGTCAAATCTGACTCTTACCTACCCAATGGCTCCCCAAGGAGATGAACCTTCCAGTGCCCCCTGTAATCTATTATTCATGACATTACCTGGAATCCTTTCTGTTCAGGCAGGAGAGACCCAGTGTTTCCATTAATGTGAGAAGGGAATCATAAGGGAAAATGTTATATTGCATGTGGGCACCAGGTTTCCCCAGGCTCGATCGAAGACCAGACTGCAGGACTCGCTTCCACCACTCTGAAGGAACATGCTGGAGGATTTCTTTCTTTTGTGACCTTTAGTTTACGTCTTTTTATTTTAATGGCAGCCTGAAAAGTGGGTGAAACGCACGAATCACCTCCAGCCAGTGTGCGGGGCAGTTTCTCAGAAGTGGCTCCAGCTCTGCGTGAGCCCTGCATGGCCTTTCTGGTCCTTCTCTTGACTTCCTTCATTCTCTTGACTTCTTTCCACTTAAAAACCTCTTCGGTTCTTACTAACACTGCGTCTTTAGTCATAAATAATTATGTAAAAGGCTCCAAAAGGTGAGAGGGACTATATGTGCAGAACTAACCTGCACTCACATTCCAAATTATCTTTAAAAATTTTTAAGGAAAATATCAATAATGCTCCTGGAGTCTCAGACCTTCACTCTGGTTGAGCAGAGAAAAGAAAGGACCACTTGGTGAGTCCCTGCTACTTCATATATTCCATCTCGCTTAAGCCTCCCAACAACCTGTGTGGCAAGTATTATCCCCTTTTTGAGAGGTGAGGAAATGAAAGCTTGGAAAATTTCAAACAATTAGAGGGAGTTTGATGATTTGACACCAAATGGGTTTGCTTCCAAAACCCAGGCTCTTTCCATGATACCACATTGTAGGTTCTCCTGGGTGAGTGAAGACTAACCCTTTCCCACCACTTTTAAATACACGGACTCATTTCTTGAGGCATGCGGGACATGTCCCAGAGGTTCACTTCCCTGACCGTGTGCTGCAAATACTGTCTCTCTCCTAAAAGAGGACTGATCGGACAAGCGCACAGACACAGACGCAGGCCAGCAAACCCAAACTCTCGGAGGTGAAATTCTCCCTCTGCTTTCCACTTCTTGAAGGAAAGGGGACTCTGCCATGTGTAGAAGAGACTCTGTTGAGTGCCCCACGTGTTAATCGAAGGGATCCATAGTCAACAGGTTGTCTACTTGGCCACAAACCCTGAAGTAGAATAGAAATACCTGGGCAAATTCAATTGTTGATCCAACTAAGTGTACGAGTTAAAGAGTTTGTCAGCGTTGTCTTCTAGATATGTGTTATCTGGGTATGGCCTCAATTAGCAAGCTGGGTTATTAGTAAGCGTCTGTAGTAGGATTATTTGTGTTCAACCTCAGTTTCCTTACCTATAAAATAAGGGGGTTGTTTGTATGGCTTTTAGGGCCCTTCTAGCTCAAAACATCTTTAATAACTCTGTGTGGCTGTTGATGTGTGTAGGCAATATTTGATCACCTAAATCACATTAGTACCATAAACACGTAATCAAATTAAATCCACAACCACGAGGGATAAATAATCAAAAGGCAGTATTGCACTGTATTCTCCAGGGTAAAATCAGGCTGCAGGTGGGGCTGCCGAGCCATCCAAATGGGGGCTGGAAGAGAAACTGTTGAACCCGAGCTTCTACATCCCTTATATCCAGTGATTTGAGCTCAGAAGAGGTAACAGGACAAGAAACTGTTTGTGCAAAAGAGAGAAGCTCAAAGGAGTCCACAGTAGGAAGGAGTGACTGCTGTGCAGTGAAGGCCATTAGCGGGGAGTGTGAGGGACTCCCAGGAGCGGCACAGACAGCTTCCCCGTTACATAAGTGGGTGCGGGCGGGGGGACACAGGAGCGCAGGGCTCACGGGAGTCCATGGTTTTTCAATGACAGCCATTCATACTTGAAAGCAGCCAGTCTTCATTAAAAAGATGTTCTTTTCCTCAAAAACAACACAGTAGACCTTAGAAAGCTATGATTATTTCAGCTACCAAAGTACTTGGTATCAGTCTCTCCCGATGTTATAAGGGATCGCATATGTCCAACGTGAGAAAACTAAGCCTCAGGCACAGCTTTTCAGAAGCAAAGCAGGAAACCCACCCCAGGAGCGGGTTACTGGGGTTGCTCTATCACCACCACTGCGGAGGAACTTATCCAGGCTTCCGGAGGTCCCAGTGGCTCTGTGCCGGAGGCTGAAATTTAATGATGGTGAGGGAGATCTCTCCCTTGAGAAATGCACATGACATGGCCAATTCTGGAATTCCACGTGGATTAAAGATGTCACACGGCCTCAGGCATCGATCAAACAGAAGGGAGGAAAGAACCACTTCGGAGCCGGTGAGCCTCATCCCAGAAAAGGCAAGGCAGTCAGCGAAGGCCTGGCACCGCGACAGCACCGCCTCCTGGAGGCCAGCTCTCCGGCACCAGCTGTCCAAGGCGCTCTGAGTTTCAGAGGGGACATGATCCTCACTGGGACCCAGGTTCGGAAGAAAGGATGCCAGGTTTCCGAGCTTTGGGCGGTGGTGGGGGTGGGACTTTGGCTTCTCTTCGAACAGGCAGTGGGGGAGCAATCTGAGGGAGCAAACGAGAGGAGAAGGGAGTCTTATCTTTCTCCCAATTCTGCCTTCGCCACATTTCCAACTCTGCTTTAGCTTCTCACTAATCCGAGTTTGTCCACACAGCCTTTGCCAAGTAGAAAGAGGAGTTAAGGCTGATGTAGCCTCCCTTGTACACCTGGAGTTGGTCTGATATACACCAGCACTGCTACATCCCCAACACATGGATACTTGGCACACCTAAAGTAGGCGCTCAATAAATATTTGTTAAATGAAGGAAGCCCGTCAGAGGCCGTTCACTCTCTCAGAAGTAAACTCTTCAGATATAAGCGAGAACTCTGCCTATTTCCCCCACCTGCACCCTGGGTGAGGTACAGAGAAAAGCTCTATCTTCGGTCAGGTGCGAAGGCCTATCTGCACACTGTTCCTTCCCACTGAAAGCTGCCCTATCTATGATGGCTTCAGGAATGAACCAAGAACTGATTAGAGTGACAGATCCTATGGGAAAACCTGCCCACTCAAAAGCCGGGGAAAGCCACGGCTGCATTCCCATGAGTGGTACTCTCTGGCCCCGGTGTCGGTCATCCTTCGCCTACCTCAGTGGAGTTCCTCTGGCTGCTCTCATAGGGCTTGCTTTTGGGGGGTGGAGGAGGTGGCACAGTAGCAGTCATCAGCGCATCTGTCTGCAAAGATGGGGAGCCTGGAAATGATACAAAGGAGGTGAAGGCAGAAAGGATTCATCAAAGAATCTCATGGAACTTCTGGTGGCCATGGTAACACCGGAGCCAACCGGCCAATCAAATTGCTAAGGTCATACTCCACAATGTCCGTGGATGGAACGAAGGCCTTCTTACCCCTCGTGACAGATGTAGCACCCTTCATTCACCAGAAGGTGTCACAAGAACTACTGAAGTAAAAATTCCATTTTTTTTGGTTCAGGGTTTTTACTATTAAGCTGAAGATGAAAATATTTTCTAGAAATTAGGGTATTACTCTGATCTCTAACATTTCCCAAGCACTTAAAAAAAGTCACATAACAGACGGTCCATAAATACTGGTTAAGTTTAACCGAACTGTCTTTATCATTTAAAGGGTGCGATACCCACTTCCTCCAGGAAACCTTACCTGCTTACCTCTAACTTTTGGTTGACTGTTGTCTCCTGTTTGGCACAATGGCTTACCCCTCGTTTTCCTTTGTACCAAGGGCACTTTGTAATTCTCCCCAGGCAGTGTGTACTGCCAATTCCCCAAGCTGGGCCATAAGCAGTTTACGGACTGGGTCTATTTCTTGGCCTTATTTTGGACCCTTCCCTATATAATGCACAGGACTGTCTACTCAGTAGTTCATAAGGTACTTGCTTCCTCTCTGGTCCTTGCCTGGATCTACCTCATTTATACTTTCATCATTAGAAAAGAGAAAGTGAGACCCTTTGGAGCACTATAGAGAAAAATTTAGTGCATCCTAGCAACCTGAGGGCCCTGTAGTATGGCAAGGACTAATTTAACTGTATTACACCCACTCCCACTGAACTGAACCAACTTTACAATATGCATATACCTTGTGGCTGTTTCGGTAAAAAACTGCCCAGATCATAAACATACTCCATTCCTAGCAAAATGAATGTAACGGATTTATATACAGGAGAACTTACTTAGGGTTCTGGTGGCTTTAGGAGTGAGTGGAGGCGGGCTCAAGGGTGTTGACGGAGGAGGTGAAGAACCATGAAACGGTGTCAGCCGACTGTCCAACAACTGGAGACTCTTCGGCCTTTGTGCTTTCCTGGTTGGACTCTAGTATGGCGGGGGCAGGGGGGACAGGAAAACACTCTCACGGTGGGGATGGCTGAGCTTTTTCTGCTGAGCAGAAACTTGTTAGAGGGCATAATTCCAGGAGCCATTTTTAAGCTTAGCACATTACCATGCGGCGGGCACCCTGGCAAAGACACAGGCAACCCCTGAATCATAGCGTATTTCTGGCCGGCTGTGGACTTGATTTTGACCACAGCTGGATTGTGTCATTTAGGTTGGAAATGAGCCACCCTCATTCTCAGAGAAAGCTGGCCTTGCCCCACTTGATTTGGCTTAGGAAGGAAAAGTGCTTTTTGTTTTTTTAAGTAAAAGAAGAGACATGACAATGTTTGGACTGACTCATGAACGTGGTAGCAGGAGCCACAGCTCCAAGCGTCAACCCACATGTTTATACTGTGGGTACAAGATCTTGGGCCGTCGTAGATTTAGAGACTCAGGTTCTCCATACGTGCTTTTCTTAGCACAGCCTGGATCTGACGCTACTGAAGCTGCTGGTCCTGAGAGAGCCAGGGCGAGGCTTCTCTCTGCTGACTCAGAGCTGAAGTGAATGGGGATGTGCCTGGCTACCGGGAATGCACTGGAAAACCTCTGGTGCGTTTTTTTTCCTTTTTACCGTAAGGTCAGGCTCTGGCGCTTTCTCTGCAATGACCTGGGACTTGCTCAGGCTCCGTTCTTTTCTCTTGAACTTGCTGGTCCGGTTCTCACTGTCCTCTTTGAGGGGCACGTCTTCTACTCTGGCACCTGACGAGGCCCTGCGCTCCAGAAGTGGCTCCAGGACTGACCTAAAGCCAAGAACATGGACAAATCACAAAACACTGGTCACCTGACAATCAAAATTTACTCCAAAAAGACCGGAGGTGATGACTCCTCAGCCTAATCTTGACCTGTGACTTCCCTCTCAGGTTTGAAATCTGAATTTTTTACGTTTTATTTTGAAAAATTTCAAACAAATAAAAAAGTGGAAGATAATATAATAAACTTCTATATATACATCAATCAGTATCAACAATGATCACTACGGCCAACCTTGTTTCTTCTATACACCCGTTCCATTCTTGCCCCCCAGTGGATTAGTTGGAAGTGATTCCTAGATGTCATATCATCTCATCTATAAATATTTCAGTGCCTATCTCTATAAGACAAGGACCTATCTTCACAACATAAAAACAGTCCCACCATCCTTCCTAAAAAATGAATAATGAATTTCATCAAAAATCCCATCAATGTTCAAATTTCCTAATTGTCTCATAACTGTTTTTGTAAGTGGTTTGTTTGAACCAGGATCCAAACAAGATTTACTCAGTGTATTTGGTTGATATGCTTCTGAAGTCATTTTAAGCCTTTTAATACTCTCAGTGCCCTTTCTACAAAATATATTCTTGCTTTTTTCTGTGAGGATACAGGGTGAGAAAGTTCCAGAGAAGTCTGTTAAGGAACCACTGGAGCCACAATGGGAAATGCTTCTAGAATGCAATTTCTTTTTCTTATTTCAAATTATTCTCTCCTTTTCTGAATCATCCTTTATTATTTTTTAAAAAAATATATTATGTCTGAATTTTTTATTTTTTGGTATATTCCAATTGTTAGTATATTTAAGAGGGAGCCACTCACTATTATTTATCTTAAATCTATACTAATTTAATAAAAATCATATAAATAAATTCCAAAAAGGACCCTAATTATTCTTAAAACCAACCAAGCCAAATCAAACAAACAAATCAGTAACTGGTCACAGAGAAAAAACAACCAACCACCACCACTCTACTGGATCAATTATTAAGGCTCTTCATTGCCACATCAACTACATGTCCACCAACAGGTACTGGTGACATGTATCTGCAATGCTCAAAGAAATGAGGAGGCTCTTTGTGTTCTGAAATGGAACAATTTTAAAGGCCTAGTAAGAGAAAAAAGCAAGGTAAACAGAGTATTTATGCTGCCATTCATATAAGAAAGTGTGGGGGGAAATGTCTGTTGAGGCACTCCTTGCGCACCTCTGGAGAGCTGCTGGAAGGGCGCCGAGACCCTGAGGCCGACATCGCCAGCCTCTGCAGAGCGGTACTGGCAAGCTGAGAGTCGGCGACTGGCGGGAGTCGTGTCATGTGTGATAGAGCTTTTGGTACCTTTGGAACTTATCTTGGATTACATTAACTATTTATAAAACAGGTATAAATTTAAAAATTATTTTTGAAAATTAAAATGATGAAAAAAAAAACAAGCAATGACTATAAATCACTGTAAAAAAATAAATCAGAATGTGATTGGGTGGGTGACAGGATGTGATGGGATTATGGGTGATATTCCCCCCCATTTTTATAACTGTTATCATTATCTAAATAATGATATTGCTCATGGAGGAGAAAATAAGAATGACCCAAAGGCTAATAACTTTGTATAATTTCCCTCATGAGGATAATGTATCTACTTTGGCCAAGTCTCACTCTGGTACCAAAGGCAAATGTTAGAAAGGAGTTATCCCGCCCCTCCTGGCAATTAAAGATCAAACCCTTACCCGTCAGACCCTGGCCTGGAAGGAGCGTTATCAGATGAGTTAGATGAGGTGGAAATCACCGAGGACGTCACCGACGTGACGGACAATCTCCGCAGCGTAGATGACATGATGTAGGGCAGGACCATGGACCCCGTGCGGCTCTGCTTCCTCTCCGTCAGGGTGGGGGGCTGGGGAACACGCACCCTCACCGTTAGCTGGCCCCGAATTCCGTCCACACGAATGAGGGCGGGCCCCCGTTTCTGGCAGGTGCTCATTTATATTGGCTGGCACCCCACTCTGATTGGTTGGTGGCTGCGCTGCCTCAGTCGTTAAATAACGAAATATTTATAGTCTTACTTACAGATACAAGTTAGGTTAAACCTACTTTGTTTCTAAGACTAGAGAAAAATTCACCATAATCTGCTGCCAGCCACATGAGAAATAACCCATATGTTCGCCACCAATAAAATAGCAAAATCCTCTGCCTGCTTTTTCAGCTTTGCTTCTTTCGGGCATTTTAAAAAATGGAATATTGGCCGAATAGAAAAGATTTAGACTGAAACTGTGGACCTGACACCCACCCTGGTGAATCTCAGGAAGTAAGGGAACACTGATCTACTTTCATGAGAAATGTCTTCAGTGGGATCATCTGAAACACACCAGCATTTCAAATTTACACACTAATGTTACCTGGGTCTAATAAAAACCAAACTCGTGAGATGAAAGTCACAGTCTCTGCCTGCCATCTAGGTATTTGTGTAAAGGACAAATTTTCCTAGAAGAAAACTCATAACTGGTGGTAGGGTAGGAGGTAAATTTTCAGGAATTCATGGTTGAACACTTAGATGATGGAGAGAGGTGATCAAAAAAGATTCTCTGGAGAGAAAGGTAGTGGAGATGGAGGAATGGGAAGAGGAGAGTGAAAAAACTGAAAATCTGGGGTTCAAGAATAAAGTAGTTAAATAGAGCAGGTGAACTCATGTTAAGAGCAGATAAATATAGCTGGGACCAAGCACACAATCAACTGCTGAAGTTGCATCCCCCCCACCCCACTTCTCAGAAGGAAAAACAGAAAATTGTAGCTGTGAGAAATGTGTTAGAACGGTCAAAAAAATTATGAAATTGGCTACGTGCGTTGTAAAATGTCCCTCACAATTCCTTCTCACTTCAAAGGTGTGAAGAGTGTAAACTTATCATCAAAATAAAAAGCATTAGAAAAACCTGTAAGAATTGGGCTAGACAGGAGAGGGACAACCAGTGTCTGGGATTAGGAACACCCCAACTTCTAACAGAGTCGTTCTCAAAGTGTGGGCCCTGAACAGCAGCATCAGTAGCACCTGGAGCGAGTTAGAAATGTACATTCTCGGGCACCACCCCAGAACTATTGAGTCAGAAACCCTGGGGATGTGGCCCAGCAATGTGTGTTTTCACAAACCTTCCAGAAGGTCGTCCAAGTTGGAGAAGCCCTCTCTAGCACAAGGACGGTTGAAGGTCATGGGCAGTAGACCACGGCTTCTCCGATCCGCCCCTCGATTTTCATGCCCTACCTACGCTATTTGGACTCATCTGGCATCTGAAAAACTGGTCAATATCATAAAAGGCCACAGAGCCTAGAAAAAGCTTAAGGGCTACTTAGGCCACACGCACCAGCGTGATCACCCCGTAGAGTCGCTCCACCTTCTCCTTGAGCTCCCGGAAGCAGGACGACAGGCGGTCGTGCAGCGGCCTGAGCTGCTCCGTGAGTTTCTCCCCGTGGATGCGGATCCCCTCCGTCAGCAGGGGCATCTGCAAAACAGGGCGCGGGAAGAACGCGATGTGGCTGAGGAAGAGGGACAGTCCCGATCTGGAGGGTGGGGACAGATGGGGGTGGGGACGGACAGCTAGGTAAACAGGCAGACACAGCACACATCAAATGAGAAAGCTGCCTGTCAGTGTAGCGCCTGGGAGCTGAACGCCTTGGGTGATTAAGGCAGAGAATTACACACACCAAGGACGCGGGCAAGCTCTAAGCTGGGGGCGGGGGCTGCCAGACGAGGAAAAGCCACCTGAGCCCAGGGCCATTTCTGTGGATGAGCAACCGATAGGTTTAAGCCTTCGATGGAGTAGATGGCTGCATTTCCTCCCACTGTTCATTGAAGTATGGAGGAAGGAAAACAGGCCGACATCTCTCAGCTGACACAGGCCAGGAAACCAATTGGGGGACCTGAGTCTCATCTCTTAAAGGTCCCTCTCAACACCGTGCAGTCTAATGGATGCTATATGCTATTCCTAGGTTGCTTTGCCAAACAAACAAACAAATAGGTTGTGATTCCAATGGTGTGTGTTTTTTTTTAAAAAAAGGAAAAGTAACCCTAAAAGTGGGTTTGTAGATTTGAGCCCTAGAGAATATCTCACTGTGCTCTGCGGCCCCCCACAGAGTACAATGGGAGGCTGTCCAGCCGCGCCCCCCGCGAGGCATACCTGTAACGCTATCAGTCTCTTTAGCAGCTCAATCTTCTCCTGGTCTTCTGGATGCTCCTGCAAGTACTTTTCTGTAAAAAAAGCCTAAAAGCAGAGCACATGGGAGTGTTAATGAGAACACATACTTATCTGTGTATCTGGCCCTAAAGGAAGGGGAGGGAAGCCTGGGAGGCTGAAACATGTCTTCTGTCCTATGTGATAAACCAGGAACGACGAAGTAATAGCATAGCCCTCTCTACAGTGAACAATTTAAAAAGGCAGGTGCTATTTTGTGGTCTTTCTGGAATCATGCAGTTCCTATCAAGAGTACATTCTCAACAACCACACACACACCCCAAATAAAAATCAGGAGCAGAGCAGAATGTCATCCCTTAAAATAGCTATCCCAGACAATATTGAAAAGTCACTCATTAGATTAAGTACATAGATATTATAAAAAAGAGAGCAAAAAATTAACAGGCTGGGGAGTTGGCGGATAGGTTTTCTGCTCTACCATGTGATACAGGCTATATCACATTTTTTCCCCATATTAAGGGAAGATTAATACCTGTACGTTCTTACTAATCACCTATCCAAAAAGCTGTTTTGAGGACAACATGAGACATAGATGCAAAAATGTTTTGAAAATATTAAATGCAGGTTGCTTTTATTATATGTCAAGACCACACCACCTATAACATCAATAAACATTCACGGTCCCCATGGCTAAGGCCCTGTAATAGGGAAATAAAACTCAAACTGTAAATATACATGTTACACAGGAGATAATTTTTAAGACAGAATTCAATAGGAAAGAAAACAGAATTCTGCAGTGAAGATTTCCAACAAGAGTTCACAATGGGAGTTATATATTTTCTCCCTGTACCTTAACCTTCATTTCTGAGCATGCTTTCGAAGACCAACCTTCAAAGTTATATAATATTGGCATACATGAATCTGATTTTTAGGGGCATTCTGAAATATTAACACTTGGAAAAACACATCAAAACTGCTATCAGATAGCTAATAGGAAAACATATACACCGAAATTATCACATTTAAAAAAGTATATTTTAGCTCCCAGTATTGTACTTAACTCCACTGTAACACCGGGAATTATTACTGAAATATAACAAGGGCAAAGTGGAATTTATCTCTGGTGGTGAGAATCAGCCCACTTAAAGTCCACTGGCCGCTCCTGTCCATCTCCTTTCCTCCCCCATCATTCTCTAGGCTACTTACTCCACCGGGTTGTGCTAGCCAAATGTTTGTTGTTCAAGAGGACTCCAAAATTATTTAGCCACTAAAACTGAACCTACCAATTAAAAATCCTGCCTCTATTAACTACAGTTGACCCTTGAGCAACATAGGCATTGGGGGCGCTGAGCCCCCTCTGGCTGCCCACAGTCGAAAATCCACTAACATTTTAAACTCTACAATGGGCCCTTCCCATCCACAGATTCAACCAACTGCAGGGGGAAAACAGTATTTTTGATCTGCGGCTGGGAACGTGAAAAGACTGCTTTCCATCCATAGTTGACTGAATCCATGGATGCAAAAGCCAAGGGATATGAAGGGCCAGCTGTACTTAATGAAAAAAATCCATTTATAAGTGGACCTGCTTAGTTCAAGCCTGTGCTACTCTAGGGTCAACTGTATCCTTAACTGGACTTTACTTACTGAATGTATCACCTCCATTTTAAATGGTGCCACACCCAAACCCTATGGGATGGAGTCACAGGTGGTGAGCACTCCCTTCATGTTTCCCCAGAGTAGCAGATACGACACTTAGCTGAACTAATTTAACTGTAGAGCCAGGGCCAGCACCAAATCTGGGTGGGGTTGCCAGAGGCTAATTCTGAACAAAGTGTGGCTCTGCCTTTCCCACCCACATCGCTTCACATCCACAGCGTCCTCAGTTGTGGGGCCCACCTGTACGCTTCCTACCTCTCAGGGATGGGTGAGTGGGAGAGCAGCAGATACGGTATGTCTGATTAACCTTTTAGTGACTCTTTTCCAGGTAGTAGCCTAGCCCTGGGGTGGGTTGCTAAGGGTCTCTAGGGGCTGTGAGTTTGGGGACAAGCTTTTCCTTAATTTCATTTGCCCACTCATAAAGAAAGGGGGAGTGAAAAAAATCTCTCAGAGAAGTGGTAAGAAACGAATTCACCAGCTGAACAATGCCACAGAGAGGCACGGACACACCCAGGCCTTTAAGTCCTGTGGGGTCCCAGGGACCCAGCCCACCTTTTCATAGTTGGAGTATCCCCCCATGACGGCAGGGTCTACGATGCCATTGAGCAGCATGGAGAGAGGATGCACAGACAGGGAGCGGTCCCAGGCATGCTGCTGAACACAGTTGCTGATCTTCTCATTGGTGAGTTCCATGGTTTCGATGGCATTCTCCAGAGGGCTGATTTCCTCCTGTGACAGAGAGCACGGGAGGGGAGGGCTCTCTGTGAGCTCCACAGCAGACACTGAAAAAAGCCCAGCTATTCCCTTCAAAAGGTAAAAAATTCCCACCAACCCATAGAAGACTGAGCACTTGCTGGTCAAAGTTATGTTTCTTAGGATATCACATGTATTTGAAATGGTGTAGGTAAGTTGCAAAATAAGCTTTTAAAAATCTCCCTAGAAAGTATAAGGATGGTTTAAAAATTAGAGCTACAGTAATGATCATTTCTTGGGGCAAAGCATCCACAGAAATTTTGAGAACAAAAAAATGGAGCTGTAATAATGACTGTTTCTTAGGCAAAGCTTCCTCAGCAATTTTTGAGACGATCAGCGGCAATAGAGTAACAGGATATCTGATCCAAGACAGAAGCACCACCCAAAACGTTCATGGGTGAGAGGGTCGTGCTTACTCCATGAGAAAAGGTAAATGATTTTGGAAGTCAGACATTCAGACTATACATAAGTCACCTTAATGTGGGTTCTGTGGTTAAGAGAAGTCAGAAACAGTGGGATGCATTAGAATATTCAGGCTGAATTTTGGATGAAAATGAAACAAGAGGCAACACAGATTCAGAGAGAGCCGCTCTGTGGAAATGTCTTCAAAACCAGGCTTCAAGAAAAATGGTCTGCTTCCTTGTTTTACCCACTATCACGGGTAACTACCCCCTACTCCAGACTTGATCTAAGTTTCTCTGTCCAAAAGTCATATTCACCCTTGAAGAAGAAGAATTTACACTAGTGGAATGAGACGCATCAACTTCAGATCAGATCTGCTCAAGGCATGTTACTGATGTCGCGCACTGGGCTATGTGCCACAGTTACAAAGTGATTAAGATACAACACATAGCTGGGAGGAACCCACGGTTTCAGTGGGGTCTCAAAACACATGAACACGGTAGGAAACTGATTAGGAATAACCACAGGAGGGGATGGGCACAGGGGGAAGAGCACGTAAGCCAGCCTGGGGGTTTCAGAGATGGCTTCCCAGAGAAGCTGGTACCTAAACTGAATCTGAGTGGGAGGGAGTAAGGTCGAGAAGAGGCAAGAGGGCATTCTGGGTAGAGCAAATGACCCGATTTCACGGAAAACTGAAATAGCAGTTTAGTTCCAGTCGATTCCATGGGAGATGTGGTGGAAGAGCTGAGTCGCAAAGAATATGTATTAATGTGCTAAGGAATATGAACTTTACGCTCTAGGCACCGGGGAGCCCCAGAATGGTTTTAACTATGAAAATGATGCGATCAGGTTTTCACTGTGGAATTCACACATGGCACCAAGGAAAAGGGAGCTCAGGAGGCCAAGGTGGGGAGGCCGATTAAAGGTTTTTCCCCCAATCGCCATCAACCTAGAGGCGAATGAGGGACTAGAAACAGGATATAATAGTACAGGGGCTGGAAATAAAGGAAACATATTTGGTAAGTATTAAGAACAGGCAGCTTTGGGGAGGGGAGGGTCAGGGAGGCCTGCTGCTGTGATTAGCTGAGAACAAAGGAGGAAAAGTTCTGAGAAGAAGGGGACGGACAGGAAACTCAAGGAGGCATTCCAAAAATGTGTTTGGGTGCTGGCAGGATCATGGAGCGGACGACGCTCCTTTGGCCATAAAAGAGTCCTTCACTGTGCGTAACCTTTAGGGCTGGTGTTGTAACATCAGTTTGACAAAGGCGTTCTCCCAGACAAGTATGTCCTTTATGTCTCTTCTGGAAAGCGAAGCTGGCCAGAGGAGGCTGGCCGAGCTAGTGGGAACCGGAGCGGGGCTTAACAAAGGCCCTTATTATATTTGGAGACAGAAAGATTTTTCTGAGTTGTAGTTTCAAATGACTCACTGTTGTAATCTGTTTGGCTTCAAACCACTTGAGAATCCCAGGAAAGGTATATGCGGTCGTATACGTGGTCCTTTCAATCCACATGGTCTGGTGGAAAGGAGAGGAAATGTGGGTCAGTTCCCAGGCCGTTAGGAAAGCAAAACTCCCTGATTCCGTTAAATGAGATTCCATTCTCAAATGCCTCTTAGAGAATGGGCCATATTTTCTCTAAAAATCTAAGAATTCTGGATGTTAACAGCGGAAAGGGTCATCTCCTTGGGCCCTCCCACCCGCGGGATGGGAAGTTTGCGGTCCACAGAGGTGTGACTTGCTCAAAGTCATCGTGGTGGCAGGCTCAGGAGGAGAGCCCAGTTTCTGGACCCCTAGCCTAGAGTTTTCCACTTAGAGGACAGCCTGCTGTCTTGGTAATAAGCACGCACAGCCTCTCTCCTGGGGCTGCCATCATTTCTGCTGGATGAGCTGGTTGGCTGCAAGGCCACCATTCTGGATGTCAATTTTACCTTGCTCTAGAGGCCCAAACGGTGGAACTCACAGCAAATTCATTGTCCGGGTCCTTTTCTCCTTTCCGGAATGGCCGGGAATATTGGAACTGCTGCACTTCATTGGCTCTGTAGTAGCTGGGGGGAGACACAGCCACAAGGTTGTCATCTCTCTTAGAAAAAGAACTCCGTGATCTGACTGCAGCAAGACACGCGGAAATGACATATCTCCCACAAACCGAGTCTTGTCCACTAACCTCTCAAAACCGCTAGTCTCCACAATGAAGGCTGAAGTTGGTGGACAATTTGATTTTACTGTACACCTTAATGCTATTATGAATCTACTTCACAGCTCACAATTTTAAAAGGTACGTATTTATGGCCACGTTTGTAATCTCATCTGTATAGTTTTATAAAAGTTCTATCAACCCTACTAGCATTTTAGCTTCTCAGAAGGAATCAGACCTTCAGTCACTGGGGAACTCACCGGGCAAGGGGAATTAAGCCACTACTGACCAGTGAGCCCTCTGAGCAGAGTAAGAGATGGGGGATCCAAAACCTGAGAGTGAAGTTCCTGAGTTCCCTCCATCTGCTCAGAAAACAAAACCCTCACATCCCTTCGAGTTATCAAGGTCTTGTCTTATTCTGGAAATGGAATGGACAGTTACTATGGTCCAAATGTTCATCATTCCCCAAAATTCCTGTTGAAATCCTAAGCCCCAGTGTGATGGTATTAGGGCGGAGCCCTCCTGAATGGGATTAGTGCCTTTATAAAGAGGCCCAGACAGCTCCCTCGGCCCTTCCTCCCTGTGAGAACACATGGAGATCCATGAACCAGAAAGCAGGCCCCCCAGACACCAAACGTGCCAGCGCCTTGATCCTGGGCTTCCCAGCTCCCAGGACAGTGAGAAATCAATTTCTGTTGCTCAGCCACCCAGTCCATGGAATCCTGTTCCAGCAGCCTGAATGCACTAAGACAGCAGAAGGTCTTTCAAACTGTGATGAACTGAAGACTTTGGTTTTGATGTGCTTCTAGATAAAAGGTCTGAGAAAGACAAGTGTTTTAAAAAACAAGAAGACACACTTACTTTAAGATCTGCTCTGGAACCGGTTTGTCCTTATAGTTGGGTGGCAGGCTCATCACTGGCTTGACGGTGAAACACTGCATGTCTGAGGAGCTCGCTAAGGAAGGGTAGGGGACTAGGCCGTGAAGCTGTCACAGGCAGAAAGCTCGCCTGTCCCTCCTGCTTTACGGATGGAAATGGCATCTGCACTGACCATTTCCCTTTACCAAACACCAGGACCACCAGGACACTGAAAGGGCGGCTCCCTTTCATATGACCCAAATGTCTCATTTAGTCATCATGCTAGGACATTTTTTTGGTTAGATATTTGGCAAACAACCTTCCCAGAGGAAAATAGAGGTATATAGATACTAATGAAATATTCTTAAAAAGTGATTAGAAATTGCTTTAGGTCATTTCTTTTGGACAACACTCCTCAGAAGTAGCCAGACTTTGGAGCCCGGACAATAGAAAGTTCTTGTACCTCTGGACACCATTTGATTATTGAGGGCCATGGCCGGGCACTGTATGAGGTGTTCTGAAAGTGTTATCCCCAGTAAACACAATGACTACCAGGTTATTAATCTCCTTTTACCAATGAAGAATCTGGGGATCTGCGAAAATCCAGACCACACAACTGGGAAATCAAGTCGGGCTTCAAAGTCGGCTGGGGGTAAGGCCTCCTTCTGTGACTGAATGACCTGACCTTGGCCATGATTTCTGTTGTCCTCACCAGGGCAGATAAACAGTTTCGCTGCCTACAGCATTTAAACTGCAGTTTGAGGCACTTGCGTCTAGAACTACCAGTATTTCTCCAGGTGAAGTGTGCAGTCCACCCATCCCACAGTCACCTGGAAACTTATTCAAAATCAAAATACAGAATTGGAATTCACAGCTGAATTAGAATCTCTCCATGTTCATTTTTCTGTATAATAAAATCAGAGAACCACTGGGCTATGCCTTATGCTGTTAGAGTTTATAAAGCATTTTCACATAAATTACCTCCTTTTTATTTTGATCCTCACAGAAGTGCCATTAGGTACTTATGGAAAATACATTTACCCTCATGCTTTGTAGATGAGAAAACCAAGGCCTGGACAATTGAAGCAACTTGGGCAAGGCCAAATGGCTCTGCAGACATTACTGAAGGCAGAGCACTAGGACTCCTGTTTCTAAATCCCATTCTTGAAGCCCTCTTTCCTTGCCACACCAGGAAGGCACCTCTGTTGTTTTCTGAACCCCCATAACCCAAGGATTTATCCTGGGAACCTTTCTTTTCCAAGCATCCACTATGTGTTAACAGGTCACTACTACTCTTCTCCTAAAGGTATGTTTGTCTAGTGGCCTATTATCTACTTTTCTATAGCCATTTACCAATCTATGTCTATAGTAATAGCTACTATATATTGAATTTTTATTATGTATCAGGCACTGTTCCTAGTATTTTACATATACTCATGTACTCAATCTTTATAAGAACTCCAAGAGGAAGAATGATATTCATCCCCACTTTATTGATGAGAAAACTGAGCACAGGGAAACTTAAGTAACTTGACCAAAGTGACATAATTAGTGATAGAGCTGGGACTTGAACCCAGGCAGTTTGCCTTCAGAGCCCATTTTCTCATCTGCGATGTCGCACTGGCTCTGTCTTACCAACCTCTCTTAGAATACTGTTCAGTCTTATAGCATCTTTATTTGGGCATAAGACCCATGAGAAAGTAACTTTATTACAGAGCCCTTAGTGCCAGTTCTTTTTTTCTCTCGATAGTGTGTGTAACTGATTTTTCAGTAAGTCATGGTATGTTACAAAGAAGAGCTCTACATCTTTATCCAGAATTCAGAACAGGAAGTCTATGTTCTCTTTTAAGTTTCCCATATGGATCTAAAATATGTCCTTTCATATTCAAGATCTGCTTGTCATCTCTCTCCTTTAATTACTATATACCCACAAGATGAAGACATTAAGGTCTCAAAGCATTTATACAGACTGGGACACGGAGTCTGAGTGGTTAAATGAGTGGTCTGAGTGTAAGACATTCTGTTTTTAGAGACAGGATTGAACCCTTAGCTTCCCTGGCTGGGCTGGGCTGTAGCAGGTTACGGAGCCTCTAGGCCAGGTGTCCGTGGCAAGGATACACTGCTTTGGGGAGCCCTTGATCTCCTCTCCCGGGGGCGTGGTGCTGGTCATCTTCTCAGCATTGGGGAACTGGGTCAGCAACCTCAGGCTGAAGTCTTCTCGCCTTTCATACTCCTTCCCCCGGTAGATGAAGATTTTGTTCTGCAGGTCAAGAGATAGCAAGCGGAATAATTAAATATGAAGAGTGAAGGGACAACTGGAGATCTTGGTATTGAGGAAGACACCGTGCTCCCAGCCAAAGTGCAACCTACCATCAAGTTCTCATTGAATACCTACTACGTGCCTCCCAGCAACCATCATATCTGTAAAGAGTTGCTGGTTTATTTGGGGAGTTAGTCTTAGGCAGTGCTTCTGATAGTGTTGGCCCAGTGGCCACAGCCGGTACAGTCTACGCTGATCCATAAAACAATAAGGAGCTTGTGGCCTCGTGTAGATCCATGACCATCAGCAATGCTGTTCAGTTTAGCTGATATTTTTCATAGTAAGACATCCTCAATGAAGGACGTGCACTAATTGATATTCAGCAAGCCCCTTATCTCATCAAGATCCAGGGACAGTCTGTGGACCAGCACTCTGACTGGCACAGCCACAGGGAACATGAAAGTACAAACAGAATCAGGACAGCATGTCCTTCGACACAGCGATACAGCACCAGCAAGCAGGAATCAGCTACAGCAGTCCCTAGCCAATCCTGAAAAATCACTGTGATTTTATTTTTAAACAAGAAATTTCCTGGGCTGCAGGAATAGGAGTGGCTTGTCTCATAATGGTTGCTGCCAGTGCAAGTTCAAGTGTAGCCATGTTTTGAAGGCTTCTACTTATCTGATCTTCACTTCGATGAGTATTTAGTATTGACTGGCAGCCCGCTCATGATCCATTTTAAACTGAAACTTGGGCATGTACTGTTCTTTAAAATGTTTTTTAAAATTGCTCATCCATTCATGTAACAAATATGTACTGAGCAAAAAGTAAATATGCTAGACACCAGGGATACAACAGTGACCCTGCTCTCACAAATCTTACCTTCCAGTGGAGAGAAATAGAAAATGAACAACAAATAAGTAAATACGATAATTCTAGATAGTATAAATAACGTAAAGGCAATACTCCTTCTAGACCAAACACCGAAGGCAGTAAAAACTGTCAGAACTTTTGGAATAGATGATAGAATTTGTCTAACCTGGAAAAAATTTATGTGACTGATTCATGCCTTATTAAATTCTCTCATTCAGGCAAAACTATGTGGGCAAAGGGTCAGAATACAATAAAACACTAATTGTATGATGTGGACGATAGCTGTGAAAGGAATCAGACAAGTAGAAGGTCGGCACAAACTAGCTCAACGTGCAAGACAGGCCTTCAAGGAAGACACGGACTTGTTTGTGCCGAGGTGGGGGGATAGGGTAAGGGAAGGAAACACAAGGGGAGAGGACAGCCAGGAATGCTAAGTGACAAGAGGGATAAGGCCAAGGATAGGAAGTACGGAGTTCAGGTAGAAGGAAGAGCTTGGACCAGCCAGAACATGCAAGGCCGTGAACGGCAGGCAGAAATCCCAGGGAAATCGCTGGAAGTTCTGGAAGGAGAAAGCAACAAGACGGAAGCAGTAATAAAGACAACCGAGTCTGATGGTGGAGTGTACACCCAACTGTAGGAATCTGAGTCAGGACTCAGTAGGGAAGGAGAAGCTACCAGATCTGGTGTTTGACCCCGGTGTTTGGTGAAGGACAACTGAGATGGGAGTCAACAAGGATTCTGAGATTACTGGCAGGAAGAGCAGAAGTGTCGCCGCCAGAAAGAAAAGAGGAGACCTGCTTGGGATGGGGCAAGGAGAAGATAATGTAATTTACACATTCTAATTTTGGGGAACCTGCCCATGATTCACAGGGCATTCAGGTTATATCCCCATGCCTGTATTATAACAAGGCACACTGTACGAGTTGCATAGATAGTCATTCAACGATGGATTAATTCCCTCCTCTGAGACTCTGTCCTTTGACTGGTCCCACCTAAGCGGGTGGCTCCACTGCCCCTCCAATAGCGCAGGCCAGGAACCTAGGAGTCATTCCTGACACCCCTCTCTTCCTCACAAACATCCCGCCCATTGTCAAATCTTGTTACTTCACGTCCATGATTCTAATCTTTCCATTTCTGTCCTAAGCCACCTTCTCTAGGCCTTGACATCTGCAATAGTCTCCAGTGGCTTACCTCCACGCACCTCCCACCCGCTCTCCATACCAAAGCCGGGGAACCTTGCCAACGCCGAGCCTGCAGCGCGGCCCACGGCTCTCAGGACGCCGACAGCACCCGGGAGCCAGGCCTGCGAGCTCCCGGCGCTGCCTGCCTCGTCCGCCGGCTCCCCCGGCTCCCCCGGCCCCCTCTGCTCCCAGCGCAGAACGCTCTTTCCTGTCCTCTCTCCCTCCTTAATGCCCAGCTCACCTCTCAAAGTGCAGCTGAAGCTGACATTCCCTGGGAAGTTGTTCCTGACTCTTAAAAAAAGAAACAATTCCGGTATAATAGACATAGAGTAAAATCTACCCTCTTCAGGATAAAATTCTGTGAGTTCTGAGAGACATAACTATGACCACAATCAACATACAGAACAGTTTATCCCCACCAAAAATGTCCCCATGCCTCTTTGTAGCCCAGCCTTCCCCCCACCCCAGCTATCAGATAACCACTCATCTGTTGTCCATCCCTAGAGAAAGTGCCCGCTTGGCCAGAACGTCATATAAATAAAATCACAGCGTACATGGACTTTAAAGTCTAACTTCTACTTAGCACCATGCCCCTGAGAGTCAGCCACACGGGGGTGTGCCTCAATTTATTCCTTCCTATTACTGAGCAGTGTTCCAGGGTACGGCCGTGTCAGGGGGTGCTTACTCCCTCACCAGCTGAGGGACATCGGGCTTCTACCCAGTCTTTGGTGATTATGAACAATTTTTATGTAAATGTAGGTTTTTATTTCATTTGGGTAACTACTCACTGTTTAACCGAGTCTTACAGCACAGAATACCTGTCTTGGTCAGTTTCAATTTTATATTTATTTGTGTGATTATTTAATTAACATCTCACCCATTAGGTTGTCAAATTCTAAGAGAGCTAGGACCATATCGATTATGATCAGCACCGACTCTCTGGTGCTTAGTATGTGCCTGGCACACAGTAGGTGCTCAGTACATAGTTATTGAATGAATGAATAAACTACCTCCTCATCAGGCACCATAAGGAATGTAAAGTACTTTCCCATTTTTCTGTTTCTTTTTTTAATTAGGGGAAGGAAGATGGATGATATATGCTTAAACATCACTAAGTGCTCCTGAAACAAGCTTCGTTTTTTTGTGGGAGAAAATAGGGGGGTTTTGTTTATTTTTTAGACTGTAAAAAGCATCACGTTATAAAAATGTTGAGATGGGAGAAAAACATAGTCCTTCTCACCATTACAACAAAATTGCTTTTATTTTCGCAAAACTTCTGCAGTCTTATCCTTGGGATATTTGCTTTCAAACTTGCGCAGGCTGGAAATAAAATAAACAACCAAATACATCAATCCACGCTTTTCCCTGGCCTGCCCTGCAGCAGCAGAGCAGTGGAGGGGATGGTTCTGTTTTCCCCTTTTTCATTCCACCTGGGAAAAGTCATTTTACAAAAGAGCTGCCAGAATCCCAGAGGTGGCCGGGGGTGTGGGGTGAAGAGGCCGGCCACTCAGGAAGCGGTTTCCCTGCCCGACCTCCCACTGCGAGAATGCGGGCCTCCAGCTGCTGATACCCCAGGCCCATCTGGAAAAGAGATGAAGACCTTCCCTCCTTCACACTGCATGGCTTAATGGCTTGGGAGACCACCCTCAGGTTTCTTACCCGTAGAAAAGAAGGAAAGCCCTGTCCGTAGTATCCAACAGCAAAGTATTCAGGCTGAGGCCTCATGGCCTTAATGATGTTCTCATAAAACGAGGCTCTTTTTTTCTAGAAAACAAAACAAGACATTCCACAGGGGGGTTACAAGGGCACAGTTGGGGGAGAGGGAAAGATCTGACTATTTGCTTTGTTGTTTCCCATGTAACACAGAGAAATGAAAGGTCTTTGGAAAATAACTTGCTGGCCAAAGAGTTATCCTCTCGTTGGACAGGCAGGTTTGGACCCGGGCCCACGAATGGGCTGTGGAGGGCCTGGGATTCCCTGAAGTTCTCTGTAGAAACATGCCAACGTGTGCGTTCTGCTCTGGTCAGAGGCACTGCTTGGCTTTCATCAGTTTCCTGAAGGGGGCTCAGGACCCCTAACAAGTTAAAAAGCACTGCCTGAGATTAGTGAAGGGTGGTTGCATTTAAGTGGAGATATATGAGAAAAGAAGATAAAGAACTTTCCAGTTCGTACAGGTGGTTTCGATTAAAGCCCTTGGTTCAGCTACAAGTGCCCAGAGGTGAAGGTAATGTTCTGTTTTTCAGTATCTGGCACCACCCCTCTCTTTAATTCTTCCCATCGGGAGAGGCTTCCCAGCCAGAGCTCAGAGACTCAGCCCTAAAGAAAGCAAAGTAGGCAGGGAGACCCAGGGGCTCTGAGGGGTGTCCCTAAGCCCCTCCCACCATGACTACATTGGTGGCACATTCCAAGACCCCCCGTGGACGCCGGAAACCACAGATAGGACTGAGGCCTGTGTGTACTAGGTTTTACCCTACACATACATACCTATGATAAAGTTTAATCTGTAAATTAGATACAGTAAGAAATTAACAACAATAACTAACAACAAAATAGAACAATTAAGCCCTGGCTGGTGTGGCTCAGTTGGTTGGTGGGTCGTCCCGCGCACCGAAGGGTCCCGGGTTTGATTCCCAATCAGGGCACACACCCAGGTTTTGGATTCTATCCACGGTCAGGGCACATGCGGGAGGGAGGCAACCGATGAATGTTTGTCTCCTGCTCTCTCTCTCTCTCGCCCTACCACTCTCTCTAGAACCAATGAAAAACATAGTCTCAGGTGAGAATTAAAAAAAGAGAGAGAACAGTTATAACAATACACTGTAATGAAAGTTACGGGAATCTGATCTGTGTGTGTCTTTCTCTCCCTCTCTAAAACCACCCTATACTGTCTCTGCTCACCTTTTCACTTAAAGGAAGCACTTTATGGCTTCTCTTCGGCATGTCCGAATTGCCAGATCACTGCTCTTGCACTTGGGGGCCATTATTAAGTAAAGTAAGGGTTATTTGAACACAAGCACTGTGCTACCTTGAGAGTAGATCTCATAACCCAGGTGGCTGCTAAGTGACCCACGGGCAGGTGGCATCTACAGCGTGGATACGCTGGGCAAAGGGGAGGATTCCCGTCTCCGGTGGGATACAGTTGGCACGATGCAGGATTTCATCACCATACTCAGAATGGTGTGCAATTTAAAATTTATAAGTTGTTTTTTTTTTCAGAAATTTTCCATTTGATATTTTCACACTGCAGTTGATTGAGGGTAACTGAAACCACGGAGAGTGAAAATGCAGGTAAGTGGGGACTACTACAGTGTTTTCCTGGAAGGATAACATGTTCATTACTAACACAGTTCAATTTAGTTTATGAGATAGTGAGTGATTTTTTTGCATAGTGGCAGGGGCTGGTACAATACACCGGCAAATACTTTTCAAAGTGATCTTGACGACTATTTCCTCAAATAAGTTATTATTGCATGACAATGGGTGACCGGACCTTTTGTGACTCCTCTACCAAAAATTATCAAATTATACTGTGCTGGCCTCCCACTGGGCATTCAGAAGACTACTTTTGTTTTGCTTCATTGTTTTAAATCACTGACCTGTGCCAACAGCCAGGTGTAATACACAGTTCAGGGAACTGTAAAAGTAGAGTACTCGAGTAACATTTGGGAGGCGGGGAGAGGTAGAATTTGAGAATCAAGTTCTGGCAGAAGCATTTTACACCTTAACCAAAATGTGCACAATGGCACTCTTAATTTTTTTTTTTAATCCCAGCCTGAGGATATTTTTTTCAGTTGCTTTTCAGAGTGAGTGGAAGGGAGAGAGAGAGAAACAGCGATGTGAGAGAACCACATCGATTCGTTGCCTCCTGCACATGACTAGGGATCGAGCCTGCAACCAAGGTACGCGGCATTGGCTGGAATCGAACCCGGGACCCTTCAGTCTGAGGGCCGACTTTCTAACCACTGAGCAAAATCAGCTAGGGCACACAGTGGCACTCTTGAGAAAATAAAACAAGACTCCAAGATGAGTAGTTCAGTCATTCGGCAGGGACCCGAGAATGAGAGCCTCAGAGCAAGTAATTTTGATGAACAGATGTCAGAAAACATCTGAAATATGGGTGGTGTTCACTGAAGGCAAAGTCACTGCGAGGGTAAGAGGTATGGAGATCTGGAGGGTCCACAGAGAAACAAAAGGCACAGGGTGGAAGAGAGGGCGTCAGACAGGGGTCCTGCACCCTTTATCAGGCATAATCTGGAGAAATTATGGTAACAGCTTTGGGGCCTCATCTTTCTTCCATTTTATTTCAAGCAAGGTTTACTTTTCCAATGTCAAGAACATCATTTATCCTGACTTTCTTAAGCTTCCAAAACATTTTCATGAACGCTCACTTTGGCACCCCGGTGGATGCTTGACATAGCGTGACCCCGACTCACCAGGAGGTTGCCAAGGCCCTCGTAGTCAAACACTTTGCTCTCATAGGTCTCAGCCAGCTCTTTGCTCAGTTTGATCGCCTTCTCCCACATCTTCAGAAGGAGAAAAGTGGAGAAACAAAGTAGTCATTGATCCAGCTGCAAAAGTCACTTGAAAGTCATGGGCAATGAGTAAGGAGCCAGGAGGGTTGAGTCTCTGCAGGTATTCCCGACATGCCTCATTTCCTGGCTCAACTAAACCTTGTTATTGGCATCATAGAGCTACCCTATCTTGGCTGCTTTGCCAGGGGATATCTTCTGTAATTCTGTTTGCAAGACTGTGAAGAACAAACACCATGTGTCCCCAAACTGAGCAATACTGAGCTTAAAGGGCAAAGTACCACTGAAATTGGGGGGGGGAGGGGGGGAACACTTCTGAAGCCTAGGTTTTGAGAGTGTGAAGCCTTGTTGGAGGGGAAAGTTGGTGTGGGCTCCAGTTGTGTGTGTATGTGTTAAGTTAGGTTGTGGGGAGGAGGGAAGCAATGGAAGAAAGGCTAATTGTTCTGCTGTATGGAATTTGGGAAACTGTGCATCCAGTGTTAGCCAACAATCTCTAGGGCATTGATTTTCTATTTCTAACTAAACTATCTACTTAGTCAAAGAGAGTTTTAGGAAATGCTTTGGAGCATTTATGGCCTTGTAAGTTACAGCCTAATGTACATATCTGGTACCCGAGATTAGCATCCCAGATTGATCCCTCTGGTCATTTTGGTTTTTCATAACATGTGTCTCAAGTGGACACTATTAGTAACACAGCATCTGGTAATTTCCTACTTCATTCTTGTCAACCAGGTGCCATGTTCCATTGTTTCTGGCTGATGAAGAAATGTGTGTGCAGTTCGTATACAGTTGTAAAACATTTAAAATGAAATATTTTAAAATCATCATTTGCCAAAATGTCCCTCTGAAGTTTCAGGGCCTTGGTCACTGATAAAGCTCTGGAATTATTCCAGATCGGCTGGGCCTGGTACAGGAAGCCAGTCAACAGAGTCAATGGGTCGAATTCTCTCCTCCTTTCACCAAATGCCAAGTTATGTAAGGGACAGTAAGACAGCCTAGCACAGCGGTTCTCAAAGTTTGGTCCCTGGTCTCTGAGAGTCCCCAAGACCCTTTCAGGGGTCCATGAGGTCAAATTATCTTATTAATAATACTGATATTATTTGCCTTTTTTCAATGCTCATTCTCTCATGAGTATACGGCAGAGTTTCCCAGAGGTTAAGGCTATGTGATGCCACCATAGAATGAATGTAGAAGCAAATATGAGAATCCTGCTGTCTGCTATTAAGCCAGGTGTTGAAGAGATGTGCAAAAATGTCAAACACCACTCAAATCACTAATTTTGGGAGACATATAGTAATTTTTTAAAAATAGGTATGATTTATCTTAACTGGCAATAGGCTTACTATCACTGTTAAAAGAACAAATAAGTAAATATTTAAAAATTGTTTTAGTTTCTAAGACTATAAGTGGCAATAGATACAGTCCATGTAAACAGAAGCTCTTTAGGGTCCTCAGTGATTTTTAATAGGAAAGGGGTGCAGAGACCAAAATGTTTGAGCAAATATACTTGCTTTCTGAGCCTTTATTTCTTCATCTGTAAAACAGAGATAAAATCTACCGTGTAGGTTATTAGGAGAGTTAAATTAGGGGAAAAAATCACCCAACAGAAACTAGCACTAAATAGATGGCAGCTATTTTGTCATGATGATTATGTGGCTTAGTTATTTATTTAACCAACAGGTTCCCCTGATAAAGAAAGGAATGGTGGCTAAACATGGCAGTCCATAAGAACTCTCTGAAACTGGTCAAATCTGGGATCTATTTAGTTTGGATGGCAGATGAATTTTTTTCCTTTCTCCCCCAACCCTATCTATGTATTTTTTTTTTTTCCATTAAAATTTTTTTTAATTTTAAATTTAAAAGCCTTTCAGGTGGACATGCTTTCTCCAGTTGGCCAAAGACTCCACAATTTCCCGGCCGAGTCCCTGTGTCAGCATCTAAGTTGCTCGTTACTTAACAGCCTATGGTGTCAGCGGGTAGTGATCTGGGAACGGGATGTGCACCAGGTGTTAGCCAACAATCTCCAGAGAAGGCACTGAAAGTGACAGTCCTAGTTCCTGGCCCTCAGCAATATTTAAAAGGGAAATTACGATTGTGAAGGCTGCCCATGGTATTCTCCATTGGGTTATGTGTCATCAAGATAAATGATCCTGATCGCCTTTCTTACATTAGTTTATCTATTCATTTTCTCTCCCATTAAAAATACCAGGATTCAAAGGCACATATGGGAAAAATAAAGAATAAGTCATGAGTCGTTAATGTATAATGAGGAATTTTGTCTGGTTTCTGTCCTGAGTCCTAGGAGGAAGCTTCTAAACCCTTGGAATTTCCCCAGTGACAGGAGTGTCTTGTTACTCCTGGTGGACCCTCCAGCCACACCTGACTTTATGCTACTGAGATGAATCATGGTGGGCCCCTTGCCAAAAAACCACCCATGTGATGAGAGGGCTGAGGCCTCGAGCTCCATGACGCTAACCAGATCTAAAGGGAGAAGGGTGAGCCGGAGACTGAGTTCACGCACGTGGTCAATGATACAATCAATCAAGTCTCCATAATAAAACCCCAATAAAAACTCCATAGAGCGGCTCAAGTGATTCTCCTGGAGGGTGACGTGCTCTGAATCCACGAAGAGAGGAAACAGAAGCTCTGCACTGGGGACCTTCCTGGACCCTGCCCGATGTATTTCTTCATTCAGCTCGTCCTGATTTGTGTCCTTGAAGATAAAACTGTAATTGCAAGTACAGCATTTTACCAAGTTTTGTTAGTGGTCCTAGCATATTATCAGACCTGCAGGCATCATAGGACTCTCCCCAAAATTTACAGTCAATTGGTCAGAAGCGGGGGCAGCCTGGAGACTCCTGAGCTTGTGGCTGGTGTCTGAAGTGAGGGCTGTCTTGCTGGGGACTGTGCCCTTCCCCTGGTTAGCGTCAGGCGTGCACTGCAGTCTTGCTGCCCTTTTCCTCTTTCCCCTGATATAAAACAAGCGACCCAACACTCACTTTGCCTTTGTCAAAATAGGATATGATTTCCTGATACAGCTTCTCCTTAAGCTCTTGCTGGGTATAAACATAGTAACTGTCCCTCTGAAGCAGGTGGGGTACACAGGGCTTGTCAGACCACTGAAAAGCAAACGAGAGATTAAGGCGACATATCCACTAATTAAAGGAGATGAACAGATAATTAGTTTAAAAAGGTTGCAGAAGTATTGCATGTATCTGTGACTCATCCACATTGTTTTAGATTATTTGTGAAACCAAAACCTGCATTCACAGGCATAATACATGCCAGCTTCAAACCAGGCACCATGCAAACTATGAGAGTCAGGGGCCAGGCGAGCTCGTACTGAAGTGTCCAGCACACAGTCAGCCAAAAGGAAGAGACGGGAAGTGTAAAGGTGGAAGGAAGAGGTAAGACTACACCGTGTACAATGACTATTCTTCACATTCGAGGCTTTTGCGAAGGGCGCCAACGGGGAAACTACTACGAGTACAGAAAACTAAGTAAATCAGAGGGTTAAAAAACTGACATATTTAGAGATAATTTAGAGGTAGATTTCACATAAAGGGATGATCATGCTGAAGATAATAGAAGAGTCCAACAAGAATAAATCCCAAATGATAAGACATCCAGGCACAGCAATGTGAATGCACTTAATGCCAGTGAACGGTACACTTAAAAATGGTTAAGATGGTACATTTTATGTTATGTGTATTGTTACCATATTAAATTAAAAAGAAAAGGCATCTAGGGATCAACATAACAAGGAACATGCAAGATTCTATACAGAAAATGTAACCCACCGGTGAAGGGCATAAAAGCAGACGTGAACAAACGGGAAGTCATACCATACTTTTGGGTAAGAAAATGCTATTTCATAAACATGGAAATTCTCCCTAAATTAATATTTTAAATATATGATTCCAAAGTCCATATGGAAAAATAAACAAAAAGAAATAGGTGGGAAACTCTGAAAAAGAAGAGCAAGGAAGACAGTTTTTACTAACTACCAGGTAATAAAACATAGTATAAAGAATTAGTAATTAAGAGTGTGGTACTAGTACATGAAGAGACAGGCACAGAGGCAAAAGTATAAAAAATCAAAAAAGAGACTCTCCTCGTCCCATATTGGGATTTAATACATGATAAAGAAGGGATCTCGTACCAATGAGGAAACTATGGGCTATATTACACATCCCTATTGAGCAGCGATCTGGGGGAAAAAGTTGTATCCACATCTCATACCTTACTATGCCAGGATAGAATTTAATTTTCTGAGCAGCACAAATACAGTTACGTTCACCAGAGTTTCTTTCTGATCACTTCACTGTCAACAGGGCTTCCACTCTAACCCACATACAGTAAGTTTTCAGTGCCTCAAACTTGAATATGAGTTGTGAAAGGCTGCCTTGGGGAAGTGGGGAGTCAGCGGACTCCTGTTTTTTAATTATAAAGCTTAGAACAATGTACATGTATTATTTTAGTATAAAATACAAATAAATTAGACAAGAAAATTAATTGCTGGGGGGAAGACTGGGGACAGGGAGATGTAACAGGAGGCTACTGTAGTTCTCTAAGGGAGAGAAAACAGTAGCACGGACCAGGGTGGCCACAATGGAGAATTTTTTAAAAGTGGATCGAAAAGAAATGAAAACAGGATATTGATGAGAGATTTGCCCTCCCACATTCACTGCAATACATAAATGTATCAACTCAACATGTGTGCACCTTAATGTACACAGTGTTGTATGTCAATTATATCACAACTTTTTAAAAAGTGGAGAGCTTAAGGGCAAGTTTTGGACAGAGGGTCCACAATTCTTGCTGGTGCAAAATGTGGGAGAGGGCGAATAAAAGATGACAGGTATTTGCCTGAGCAACTGGGCAGATGGTGGTGCCCTTTAGTGAAATGGGAAGAAATGGGTCCAGGAACGGATCCAGGAACAGTGGGAAATTAGAGCTCCTGCTACTGACATGCAAAGTTTGTGCTGCCTAACAGCCACTGCGACACTGAGGCTGAAAGAACAGTTTATTCCTGCGTCTGAACTTGGAGGATTGGTCAGAGCCAGAAATAATTATTTGAGATCCATGACCTACAGATGTATTTATATCCACAGCACACTATAATTTTACTTACTGAGCGAGTATAAATAGGAAGCTGCTTCTGTGGCGCTATATTTACTTACAACTCATGTCTCTGCAGTTTTACAAATTTTCACATATACTAATCGACAGATATTTGTTTCTTCAATTAGTGTCAATTACTAGGGGCTTGTAAGTTGTACTCTGCTTCCTAAGGATTTTAAAGTCAATGGAATTTCTTTATCCATTCATCCAACGATAACTGACATTTTCCTGACCTGGATCTGAAAACTGGCTGCGCCTGCTTAGAAGGTTTACAAGTATTTTTGCATTTTCTGGAAATGAGCAGCCCTGACGCACTCACCTGCAGAAGCTCAGCGTGTAAGAGCAGCGTGTAGGCGGCCTCCGTGTAGTTCTCACAGTCTCGGTGCAGATCCCGCAGCTTGTACAAGTACCTGGTAAGAATGAGGGGGGCCTTCTGCCGCTGGGGAGCTGCTCCAGCATTCAGCTCATTCCACAGCCCAGCCCAGCCTGCTGCCCCGTCTCGTCTCCCCCTACTCCCTTCTCCAGGGCAAAGGGGTCCTGGCTCCCCGCCTTCCTATTTCTTGGTGCAGCTTCCTGCCTGTGGGCCTTTCCAGCTCCATCTACTCCACTCCACGTTCCTCACTGAAGGCAGTGATGCTCATTTATTTATTTTTATGCCACGGACCCCTTGAGAAGCTAATAAGAGCTATGGACTCTCTCCCCAAGAAAAGGAGTATAGATTATGTCCAAGTGTGTTCCACGTGCAGGGCTCCCTGGGTTCCAGGCGAATTTTCATGCCTCTCCTTGAGCAGACTTTCCTGATCGTCCTGCCAGCATCTCCCACCCTTCCTAGGGATCCCAACATTATCCTCCCTGTACACTCCCTTGGGCTGTTCTTAGTGTGTATCTGTCTACAGAGTTTACCCTTTAGGGGGAAGGGGGAATACCACATAGTTTTTGGTGTCTCTCAAAGCAGCAAGCATGGGTTGAGGCTTAGTATTTGTTGGTTGAAAAAATAAATAATACAGCCATGACAAATAGCAAATGCAGACATTCCCTTCAGCTTACCTTATGTATATGTCCTCTCGTTTCTTTTCTTTATAAAAATTCTATAAAAAAGTCCAAAATACCCATGTAAATCAAGAGTTATTGAATCTTTTGCCATGAAAATGGCCAAATAGCTACTTTTGCTTTTCAACACTGTTACCTCTCCAAAGAGTTCATTATTTCCCTTTAACAAATATCCCCATAAAGGAAAGGATGTGACAATTTATAAAGACGACGAATTGAAGAATTTCTTAGGACCATGCTTCTGAGCAATTTCAGGGGGGCCTTCTAAGGGGACAGACAGCTGGCTTGTCCTGTCACCTGGTGCTCTGCTTTCCCAGGGAAACAGGGTGGTAGGTCTTGGTTTACAGTGAGCAGAGGAATGGTAGCCTGAACCTCTGAGGTCTGTGGTCTCAGACACATATGTCTAGGGAAAGGCAAGACTGAAGAGTTCTAGCATCATGAGGATTTGAGGCACTAATATTCTACTCATGGTATAGTGTTTCTCACACATGTTCGTATGTACTCAATAATTCCAATGAAGCAACTACATGTAAACAAGGCAGAGAAACAGATTGAGGATGGCCTTTAGGGAGCTGAGTTAAGAGATCATGTTGCACTTTCCATCCCTATTTCCAAGTTTATCCTCAAGATCTGNATGTAAACAAGGCAGAGAAACAGATTGAGGATGGCCTTTAGGGAGCTGAGATCATGTTGCACTTTCCATCCCTATTTCCAAGTTTATCCTCAAGGTCTANTTCCAAGTTTATCCTCAAGATCTGTGGCTGCTGGTATCTGCAAGTCCGACGATTGGGTGGCTGTTCCCATTAGACTCAGCAGGAGAGACCCCATAAAGATGGCCCCAGGATCCCTTTGTGTCTGTGAGATGTCCTTGGAGCTATCCGAGTGGGTGCGGGGGAGCCTGCAGTGCCCTCCCGCCATCCCAGAGGCTTGGCACCTACCAGCACATTAACAGTGCAGCTCATCCGGTTTTCCTTGCTCTCGTCATGCATGATGATCGTCCTATAGTCCAGAAGATTCTCTAGGAGGCTGCTGACTAGGAGCGCAAATCTTTCTCCAGAGCTGGAGAGGTATTTATGTTTCCGGAAATGTTCCAGGAGCCTGGAGGGTGGAGGCAGACACAAACGCCCATGTCCCACACTGCTATTCTAGCACCATCTATGAGCACCGTCCGAGGCCCCAGCAGCAAGTGGCGCCAGGTGAGGAGACACGCACCCTTCACTTAACACAGTTGCTCAAGTTCCACGTTTCCTTTAGAGCTTTAGCTCAAGTCCTCCCCATCACCTAGAATCCCAGCCCACAATGCCCTTCTTTGAACTTGTAACTGTATTTTTTCGGTTGGTTTTTGTTTTCAAAACAGAAACCTTTGCCCAAAAGGTCTGCATATGCTTTCTGATCACTCTACTGAAGTTGAAAGAGACCATGTTTTCTAGGTCGTTAATCTCCCTAAAGCCTAGCACTTCAGGGCACCCTGTGGGCATTCTGGAAGGCCTGGCACGAATGCCCAGCCTAGAGGGACCTAGGGATCTATAATGCACCCAGACATGTGGCTGAAATGAGTGTATTTTAAAATGTAAAGTGGACCTTGAAATGCTTTTCTTCCCCTTATTCTTGACATTGTTGCTTTGAAGCCATAATTAGAGCCANTGGACCTTGAAATGCTTTTCTTCCCCTTATTCTTGACATTGTTGCTTTGAAGTCATAATTAGAGGTGTTATCACTTTGGGTGTTCATCAGTTCAAACAGTGGGCAAAATGCTCTGTCCATCTCTCCCTCTCTCCACCTGCTCTGCTCTCGATGGGCAGGCTGGCCAGGGAAACATGGACATTGGGCTCATGTCAGATAAACAAGTATCGGCAGAGGACGGAACGTACTCCACTGACCCCACCAAGAACCATCTGCAGTGGTCACCCCAATGATTCTGCAACTGCTCGGTGGGCCTGCACTGGAACCCTGTTTTTGTCCATCTCTAAATGATGTCATCAACTTGAGGATTTGTGTCTGAAATACTCACAGTTTTTCCAGAAGGACCTTATACTGTTCGTCTCCTCTGCCCCCTTCCACCTCTTGGTCCAGCTTTGTGATCAACTCATTCTCAAACTGAAAGCAGAGGCAGAATTTCACAGAAAGTTATATCCTCAGAAGAGGACATGAGAGATGCCCGGCCATCCTTTGTAGACTTGCCCGACCCCTTTTTAAATTGTGAATTATTTCCAGCATATACAGAGGAAGATAACACGTCACCTCATCCATTAACGGCACACCGGGGCCCTCCCAAAACTTTCTAATGTCGTCTCATGTTACTTTATCCTGTGCTTTGCATTTGCAGAGAAAAATGACCCAAAACATTACTTTCCTATTACAACTATGCATATAAAAATAGCTTAATGATTCTAATTTTCTATTTCATTTTGGGTTCTTGTCTCAGTCTCAGCAATGGGATTGCTTTTTTCTGATTTTGCAGAGCCGCAGAGCTGCAACATCTCCCTTTCAATATTACCACACTGTATAGATAAGGAAAATAAAAGAGAGAAAATATGTATCAGGCACATCGAGGTCGCTAGATGAGAGACCTCTGCATCATTCCCTCGAGTCTCTGCCTTACTCTCTCAGCTGCATTGCAACAAATACGATTAACATGCACGAAGTCATATTTTAATTATCCAGAGAGAGGGCTGCTTTAGGAAACACGTGTAACAAAAAGATTGCTTGGAGGCCACCCTGGGTTGGAATATCTGCTTCTATTTCTAAATGCTTTCCAAAATGAAATGCAAAAGAACATTTTTAGACCAACTTTGATTTGTATTATGTAGGCTATGGCTTCTCTATGTAGAAAGAAAATAAATAAGAGTTGACTATATGTTCATTAGTAAGATCACAGGTCTACCGCCTCTTACCATATGGAAATTGCCATTTCCACTGAAATTGAACTCACACTGCATCATATCAAAGAAAATGGGGATGGTGGCTTTGCGAAGCTCTACTTCAGGGGTCAGCGTGACCTCCAGAATGGGACCCACCATGGACGGGATGAATTTGATTTTGTGGGGACCTGAAATGAAAGTAAGAAATTAAAAAATAACCTCACTGGACGTGAAGTGTTACAATCTTCCTCCACAGGGCCCGTAAGAAAAGAATAAGTTTATGTAGGTAAATCAACTCAATCCAGAAAACCAAGGGACTAAATACTGTATTCTGATAACAAGTGGATGTCATAGCAAGAGACCCAGAAGTCAACGTTCACGTCCAGACACACAGACAAATGAATCTTAGGGTTACTGGAATTAAAATAGGAAGAGTCCATCGTGGTATGTTTATCGCACAGTTGTGCGTGGGCTCGTCCAAGGTCATACACTCACCCAGGTTGTACCACATGTCCCGGATCCTAAAGCCGATCTCCTTTCTCATGTCCCCGTATCTAGGAAGATCATAAACCAAGAGAATGATCTGCAGTGCAAATGGGTATTTGTAATAAAATCCCATCTCCGCGAACAGCTGGCCCTCTCTGGCAGCCTGTCCGAGTTGCAGGCATAGCGCCTCTTGCTGGTGCTTCACAAAGCACGTGAAGCATCCCCTCTGGGGTGTCTGCCATTCTACCAGCCGGTCTACTTGCCTCTCCTTGTACAGATTCTACGAAAATAATGAGATGGGCGATGGGAAAGTGAATGGGGCCTTGAAAAAAGAGATTTGTATCTAGGGAAATCTGCGATCTATGAAATAATTATAAGACTATCTCACTAACAACATGGTAGCCAGTGAACAGTAATGTCTGTGATACCCAAAATCTTGCTCTGAAACAGAAAAAATCACCTACCTAAACTTAAGCAACTCTGAGAGGACACTTACTTTTTTACAATTTTGGTGCGCTTGGCTTGAGAGAAGGTTTCAAGCTGAAGGGACTCGTGGGTGAGAAATGCTACTGCCAAATGGAAGTAATTGTTCCAGAGCTGTTCAAAATTAATTGTGTGGGTGAAGAAAAATGAAAAGTAACATTAATAAGGGTCATCGTAAAACAGTGCATATGGTGCAAGTCACTTGCTGGGGATTAATGCGGAAAAAAATCCACAGGCTTCTTTTTCTTTCTTGGGTTTCAATTATTTAGTGCTGAAAGTTTTAACACAATATTAATATTATGCTTTTTATAAAAAAACCCAAACTATTATATTTGTCTTTACTCCTGAGATAAAGGCAAACTGCTGCCAAGAAGCATACCTATTTATAGTAAATAGTCTGGCAATATATATCAAGAGCCCTAAAATTCTGCCAAACTTTTGAACTAGTAAATACTTTAGGACTTTATCCTGGCAAAATAAATCATGGGGATTTAAAAATACTAAAAACAAGGAAGGCCCTCCCAGTGCTATTTAACCTAGGAAAAAATGGAAACATTCTAAATGTTCATGAGAATATGACTAAATAAATAAATCATGGCCAAGCCAGACAACAGACTGTACTCAGCCATTAAAAATACGGTGAAAATTATTTCATATCATTGAGAAGATCACAGAAGTAAGTAAAGTAGATTAATAGAGTTTATCAAAGAACTGTACAGCTAGATTCCATTTTGGCACATACATATAAACACACAAATATACAAATATACATAAGCATATATATATACACAAACACACACACAGATACACATATATGTACACACATATATGTGTATATGACTCTATCTATTCATAATCTCCTCTGCTTGTATGACTCTCCACTTTGAACATTCCAGATACAAACAGAAGGGACACGACACAGCAGAGCACATCGCTCACAGAGCGTACGCTGGCACATCAGCTGCAGGAGAGCAGGGTCCTGTCTCCTTCACCAGGGCCTAGAATAGGGCACTGCACATACAGATATTCTAATATTTGTTGCATGAATGAATGAATGAAGGTGGAGCTTGCGATCGCCTGTTTGATGATCACTTTGCACTTTCAAGCAAGTGTGTAATCAAACCACTCTTTAGAAACGAAACCAGCTGCTGGTCGAGGAGTATCCGTGTGTCTGCCTGCAAGCACGTGTGTGCATCTGTATTCGGGTTATGGTAACAGCAGAAGATAAGACCACCTGTCTTTCCATTTTCCTCTTTTCGCTTAGTTATATTTTCTTCCCTTTTTTTTTTTTTTTTTTTACATGTATTGGTTTAACAGAAAGAACAAAAACCTGTTTTATTATGTGTGAAGGACAGAGTAATAAGGATGTGCTTTAGGAAAGCAGAAAACAAGAGAAAATTTTTTTCATTTGAAAATGATAAAATCTGAGGCGATGTTTTCCAGAATGAGCTGGTTCTCTTGCTTTGGCTGACGATGCAGGGAGCTCCTGGGGGGCAGCATGCTTACCTGCAGTTCAAACTTTGCCTGAGACATAAAGTGCCGTGTGAGGACCTCAGCAAACTGATTTATGGCGCGGAGGAAGACCCTTGGAGAGGAAAACACAGGATGAAAAAGGCAGCTTCGTGCTCACTGAGACACTTCCCATCTATGTTAAAAACCAAAGCAAACCAAACCTGCACTTGGCAACAGACTAAACCTTTAGACCAACCAACGTCGTTAGGGACCAATGAGATAGCACAGCGTGCAGAGGGCACTGAAGGTCAGTTTCTAGAACTGACTACAAGCACCACTCAAGGCTGCTTCTCAGTTTAGCCAGAGAGGGCAGGGCTGCGACAAGCCAGGTCTCCTGAGACGCAGACCAGGGCTCTCGGCACCCTGGCAAGATGCTTCTTTCAAAGTCTGTGCAACTTCCTCTCTAATCTGTACATAGTTGGCAAGGGTTTTTCTAATCAAGTATCGGGACCATGTGGAGTTAACAGTGATGGTGAGAATAATGATTTACTTTAGTTAGCTCGTTAAACATTCTGAAGCTCTTTTAATAGAACGTATGTATTTAGTTCATTGCACTTCCATCCAACAAGTATTTGTTGTGGGCCAGAAACTACAAAGCACTGGCTTAGGTTTGGCCTTGAAAGAGACTGTTCCTGGTCTTATGACATTTACAACTTGGTGGGAGCCATTTGCAACAATGACCCAAGAAAAAATATGGAAAATTCAATGAGGGGGTAAAGAGATCTGGGAAATCAAAGGCAGAGAAGACATCCAGGTCAGAAAGGCTTCCTTTGGAGTTATCATCTGAGAAGGACCTGAAGTGGCAGGGTGACAGCCCGAGATGAGGGGAAGGCGCGGCAGGTGGCAGGTGGCAGAAGCAGCGTGAAGGGAAGCAGAGAACACGTTCAGGGCCCGGGAACCGGCCAGTTTGGTTGGAACGCAGGTTGGACACAGAGGGGAAGAGTGGAAGGCAAGGCTGGAAAGGCAGGGTGGGCTAGGATCACAAGTCTTTGACTATCAGCATGACAAAGATCATATGGAGCCACTGACAGATGCCTTGGAGAGTTGATGCTGACAGTTCAATGAGGACACTATAGTAGAGAGAAGGGGGTGAAGAGCCAGGGTCAGAGCAACTGCAGGAGCCTAGGTGAAACCAAGAACACGAGCACATAAACCAGGCTCCTGGAAGTGGGCGGATCCTTGCTTTACAGATGATGGATTTGAGGCAAAGATTTCACAGCCCTTCACAAAAGTCAGAGAGAGAGAGAGAGCTAATTACCAGGCCCAAGTGCAGTGACCCCTGAAAAATGCAGGGGTTAGGGGCACTGACCCCCTGCACAGTGAAAAATCCACATAACTTTTGACTCCCCCAAAACTTAACTACAGTTAGCCTTTGTTCCCTCGGGTTTCACATCATCAGATTCAACTAACTGTGGATCAAAAATAGTATTTTCAATCTGAAGTTGGGAATTGTGGATACAGAGGGCTGATTATACTAATAGGCTACTGTTGACCAGAAACCTTACTGATAACACAAATAATCTATTAACTCATATTTTGTATGTCACATGTATCATATACTGTATTCTTATAATAAAGTTTGCTAGAGCAAGAAAATGTAACTGAAAGAATCATAAGAGAAAATACATTTACTGCATTTATTGGGAAAAAAAATCATGTATACATGGATCGATGCAGTTCAAACCCATGTTGTTTGAGGGTCAGCAGTATTCAGTCACATGCCTGCGGGCCTGCTATGGGCGGTCCTACCTGCTCTGGGTCATGTTCATGACCATCCAGTCTTTGGCATAGACATTCTTTCCAATCAGATCCTTAAACATGATAAAAGTTTCCATGAGGAAGTCCTGCAGAGAACAAAGCAACGACTGGAGAAAAACTGGGTTACATGTCAGAAGCCTTCCCTGGCATGTGCACAAAAAGAAACTACATCAGAGTAAGATGTCCTTAGGCCTATGCTAGCAGCCTAGCTGTTTAATAAGATTTGGGGGGATATCAAAGCATTTTGACAGCTATCACATGATTTGATTTTTTTACTTCACATACTCTGATGAGGAAGACAGGATGAAAGACTGTCCACATTTTACAGATGATAAAACTGAGGCTGTGAAAAATTAAACAACTTGTTTAAGGTTGTAGAAACTAGGAAGCAGAAGAGCTGGGGGAAAACTTGGGGTTCTGAACCCTACATTTAGAGACAAGTGTTGTCTGAATATATCTACTGCACTTAAAACGAATTCACCAACAACTGTAGGAGAACTGACACTTCAAACGACTGAGTCCAATTCTCCTTTATTATTGTTAGAACAGAACTAACATGCTATTAATAAGAAGCTAAGTCAGGATTCTTCCTATACCAGAAAGGCAGCCATGTGAAGCCTGGGAGAAGGGAACTAACTGGTCTTTAAAAGAGATTACAGCAGTGGATCGTAACAATTGCAACTAACTGATAATGAAAGTCCATTATGGGCAAAATAGCTATTTTACTCAAAAGGGGGCTGTGAACAAAAAGGAACTCAGAACAACTGAACTAAAAATCAAAGCTAAAAACTCTGAAAAGCTTTTTTATTTATTAGCTAGTTAAATTTAGATATTTTCCACTCAGGTTCCTGAAATAGAAACCCTGTCCAATTTCTCTGGCCCCAAACCAACACAGTTCTAGCTTATGAATTATGTCATGTGGCAGAAAGAACACAGTGCATGAGGCAGGAGGCCTGGGTTCTGTTTCTAACTGGACTCCTCAGAGACACTGGTCAAACTGGTTAACATCCTGCACTTTGGATGCCACACAGCATAGGAATGAATGGGAGTAACTCTGGCTCTAAAATCTGTGCTGTCCTTGGAGCTTCCTTTTGCTTCGATGGAGACTCAAGCTTTGCTATCCTTACTTCTGAAATCACAGACATATTTCACACCTTCAAAATTTTTTCATCATATTTTAAGTGTTCCCACCAGTTTATAAACTATTCTATTAGCCTTTTCTCTCAATTCAACAAGAATTCATGGTCTGGGAAGCAAGGATTGGATTTAGGTGCCAGTTACTCACTTCTGACACCAACTCTACATTGATCTCTTGGTGATCTAAGTTCACTGTAAACAGTGATGGCACAATACAGGCAATTCACAGATAACCCCTCCCTTCATCCACTGCTTCCCAAAGTCTTTCAAGTGATCCATTCAGAAGGCAGCAGGAGAGAGGGCAAGGCCAATGGACTAAACGTCAGAAGGTCTAGCTGTACAATGGAGCCCTGCCACTGATGACTACAGTTCCTCCTTGGGGATAATAATCTTTTTAATTAAATAATAGAGGGGGAAGAGTTCATCATTGTTTTGGAAAATACAAATTAAAACCCGTTTTTTTTGGTTTTTTTTTGCTTACATAATAGAACCAAATTGTCAAGAGTTTGAATTTAGTATAACTTCCACTATTCTACCTGCTTTCTGAAAAAAATTTGGAAAAAAGTCACTAAATTATTTTTATATTAATTACATATTACATCATTAGAGTAATAAGATTATTATTATAAATAGCTAGTCTTCATACGCATTAACTACATGCCAAGCACAAAGCTAGTCGTTTCCTATGCACCGATTCAATCAATACTCACATCAACCCTCAAGGTAGGTACTGTCCTACAGGTGAGAAAACTGAGATTTAGTGAAGTTAAATAGCTTGCCCAACATTTCCTAGAAGGAAGTGGAAGAGCCAGGATTCAAACCCAGATCTGGGTGTTCTGAAGCCTGTGTCCTTAAACCCACTCCACCCTCTGCCTATGGAGGAGAGACATTGCTGCCCTACCCTAAGCTTCCACCCCCCCCCCCCC